ATATTATTATATTATTATATTATTATATCATTATATTATTATATTATTATTATATATTATTATATATATATATATGTATGTATAGTGTAGTATACCTGTAGCAATATCCGTAGCTTTCAATAACACATACGATTCGTGAGGAGATATCTCTGTGCGGTATAACGAGAGAATGGGCTCATGAGTTCCCAATGTCCGAACAGCTCAAACGTATTGTCACCCGAGGAAAGGAGAAGAAACACCCAAAGCATATATGAGAATACACATCCGTATAGTGTTTGGTCGGTGAATTGAGGCTTATAGGTCAAGATTTCTCTATTTGTACGTACTGTAGGCTGTATATGGATAGACGTTAGGAGACTCCCTCATCGGTCTTGAAGAGTTGTTGATGCAATTCCAATCGCTGATTCGAATAGTGCACGCAGTCGTAATTGTAGTACGTGCGATAGCCTATACTATCCAGCGACTCCCCCGACAGACCCAATCAGTGCTATACGATATAGTATCAGCACATCACTAGTCTTCATTATCAATTGATTGTACCTTACTTCGACTACATAATACCTCGAATACATTATAATATAGTACATTACACTATAAATCATTACACAATAAAACATTACACTATAGTTCATTACACTATAAAACATTGCACTACAACCATGGGGGATACCGAAGACCACCCTGAGAGTGTGCGAAGGCCCAGGACACCCTCACTCGACACCACCGCCAGTGGGTACGTTGAACCACTACACATATCACGCAAGGTATCACAGCAACTCAGAGCCTTGCGAGTAGACACGGACTCACCTGTTTGTGATGTGATTATCAAAACATCACTCTCCCACACACACACAAACGCACACACACACACAAGCACAAGCACAGATACACCCACAAGCACACATACAGCCACTAGTACAAGTACTGGTACGGATGGATCGAATAAGGGCGCATATGAGGCAGAGCACACAACGACAGGAGAACACACTGTGAACGACGCAGCAGGCACAGCCACGGGAGAGACCGATGCCGTGGCGGCTAATACCAAGTTAAAAACCACGCAGAATAACAGCGTGGAAGCTGGTATGTATGTGTTGTGTACCACGTGTATTTTATCCCATATATAAATTTATGTAATCATATATGTATGTATATATTTATATATATATATATATCTGTATGTATGTATATGTATGTGTATATGTATATGTATATGTATATAAATACATATGTGTGTGTGTGCGTGTATGTGTGTGTGTGTGTGTTGTGTATGTGTGTTGTGTGTTGTGTGTGTGTGTTGTATATATATATATGTGTGTGTGTGTGTGTGTGTGTTGTGTGTGTGTGTTGTATATATATA